CTCTCCTTTGGAGATCTTATGTGATTTTATCACAGAAAGCAGGTATAAAAGAATATATATGTATTTCACATTATGGGAAATATTAGATGCACTGTGACACCATCCATTATAATTTGACGTAAATCTGACTCCTTGGGGGGGAAAAGCATGCCTTTCTTCCCAAATACAATAGTGTTGTAAAATGACCCTGACACAAAACATTTCTTAGGTCTTGGCCATAGGCCAGCGTGTGTACTCAAAGACACTCAAGAATTTTACCATAAGGCTGAGTCTGGTTGGTAGGACCTACTGTTTTGTGCTGAATCTAAGCAGACTTAGTTATTAAAGTGTCACTAGAATCCAAGGCTAATCTCAGGACACAGAACTCCAGAAACACTACTAGAGGTAATATGTATTTGTGGGTTTGTGAGATCTTCATAGGACTTTCTTAATCCTATGCTTAAAAGATTGGCCAATGAGGGGCTTCCCTGGTGGCGCAGTGGTTGAGAGTCCGCCTGCCGATGCAGGGGACACGGGTTCGTGCCCCAGTCTGGGAGGATCCCACATGCCACGGAGCGGCTGGGCCCATGAGCCATGGCCGCTGAGCCTGCGCGTCCGGAGCCTGTGCTCCGCAACGGAAAAAAAAAAGATTGGTCAATGAGTTAGTGATAAAGCATAGAAGAGAGTCTTTGTGTCTTGGTTCTAGTTCATTGCTCTTTCTAGGTACTTCTCTTTTGGGGATAAAGTCTGAAATTATTAATGTGGCCTGATAAGACCCTACCCCTCTTTCGCCTCTTCTCATGCAGCTCTATGCTCACTCAGCAGTCGCACCACGTTGGCCTTTTCTAAGTTCATCGAAAAATGTTACCTTCTTTCCTGCCTCAGAGCCATAATAATTGACGTGTCTTCTTTTTGGAATGTTCTTTATCAACCTTTCCACATGGATAGTTGTTGAAGCATTACTTCCTTAGAGAAGCTATTCTGATCCTTGTAGTCCTTCAGGCTACATTAAATACCTATGTTAGACAGCCACCTGACATTCTATATTTTTCTTTCTCAGCACTTATTCTAACTGTAATTCATAGTTACTACCTAAGCATTTATTTAATACCTCCATTAAGGTAGGGACTGTTTCTGAGTTGCTTGTTGTTGCACCTCCATTGTTTAGCACAGTGTTTAGTTAATAGTACACATTTAATAAAGATTTGCCATTGAAAATTTCATCTGTACTGGAAGTGTGCTTGAAAAGTACCAAGGTTGGTTCATATATCCATTTCTACTTTAAACGATAATGCTGGAATGAGAGCTAGAGAATTCTTATTCTAGCTCCAGTACTAACTATACGATCTTGGGCGTGCTACTTCTGTTCTCTCGACCTCAGCTTATCAGTGTAATGAAGAGGTCAGACTAGACTAAATGATCTGTTAAGCCCCTTTCAATTCCAGGTACTAAGTATGTTATTGTTCAGCTTACCAAAATTTTAGTGCTGGCTACTTTATTAAAACTGAACTAATAATAAAGGTAGGGTTTATTTAGCCATAAAATAGTAAAAGCATTTCTTAAAGTGCTCCTATAAAATATGAGGGATTTTATAATTTTGAAAAATATTTAACAAGGCTCATTTTTACATGTATGCACTGCATGTCTTTATATATTTTGGATAAAGAGACAATTCAATATCCCAAACAACCACTGAACATTTTTCAAAATTGAAATGGAAGAATCTATACTTACAAAAACAGTCTTCACCAAAGTATAAATGTTTAAAGGACTTTGGCTAAGCCTGTTATAAGCTTTACTGCATTGTTGATTTTTTAAACCTCAATGTTGTTTGGAAATTAATATTCATTATTATTGTCATTATGACATGAACTGTGTTCTGAGAATCTTACATGGAATGACTTTTGTAAATGCTTATGTAATAGTTAATCAGAGTTTAACTTTTTCCTTCCTAAACCATTAGTTTTCAAAGGAGTTTTCTAACTTAAAGCTATTTATTTGAATAACTAGTATTTTATATTCTTTCAGAAAAGGATGCAGTAGCATTTAGGGAAACTTTAAATTTATAAGTAACTAGGCTGAGAAGAAAAATTAGTACTACAATTTGTGTTAGAAACGTGTAAGATGGGTTAGTGAAGCTAGCAGTTATTGAGGAGCTATCTAGTCAACATTCTAAAAATGACTTCAAGAGAATAATTTCTTGTAAAACAGTATAATTTAATTTGCACTGAATTTATTTTCCTTTTATTTCTTAAAACTCAACACCATGAAATTATTCATTACATTTACAATAAATATAATCGTATACCACTGCTGTTGCCTCATTTATAGAGAGAATATCTCTCCTCCCTAACATCCAGGGATTTTTATATATAGCACATTAATTCAGAAAATATTGATTGGTTATCTCTTATTTGCAAGTCACTATTGCTGATGCTAGGCATTCAAAAATAATTAGGTCGGGCTTCCCTGGTGGCACAGTGGTTGAGAGTCCGCCTGCCGATGCAGGGGACGCGGGTTCGCACCCCGGTCCGGGAAGATCCCACATGCCGCGGAGTGGCTGGGCCCGTGAGCCATGGCCGCTGAGCCTGTGCACCCGGAGCCTGTGCTCCGCAACGGGAGAGGCCACAACAGTGAAGGGCCCGCATACCGCAAAAAAAATAATAATAATAATAATTAGGCTGATCATGACTTCAGTAAGCTTACAGTCTATCAAGCATGATAAGACATGTGCATAATTAAACACAAAGTTAAAAAAAGGGATAAGCATTGCAGGAAAGGTGCAAATCAACTGTTAAGGATCTTTATCTTCCATCTCCTCCAGAGCTATATGCTTGTTCCAAGACTTTGAATCCTCCTTAGCTCCTAATACAGAGCCTGGCATATGGAACATATTCAATTAATGTTCGCTTAGAAGATGAGCTATTTGTGAAATTGTTCGGTAAACCTATGCCTATTCAATGAATGGCATTCTTTTCTCCAAATCAGAGCTAAAGTCTTCAATCTGAAAAGCTCTATACTTCTATCTAAACTAATATATTTTGTTAGGCAGAATGTGAAAATTTTTATTTTCATGAGCACTTTCTATCTCTACATTGGACTCTAATTTCTGATTTCTATTTCAAGGCTCATTCCACTAAATCTTATCTGATATTCTACTGTCCAGTTTACCCAGGTCTGTGAGTTTTACAGACTGTGGCTATACTTCTTCCTGCCTCTAACATATCAGTAACCAGAAGGCACAAGGAATTCTAAGGAATCAACAGTTCTAAGGCAGCTTGCCTCTCTTAGGTACAAGCCTTTAGAACGGGATGTAAAATAGATGATTGTCGAAACTTCAGAGGGAGCAATGAACGCTACTCTGTTTCTCCAAGGCAACTATATTGTTCAATTATTTTGAAGGATTTCTGAATTTAGTCAGCCTTTTAAAAAATAGATTTGTGTCCAAAGATTTGTTTTTCTGCTTTTCTTCACTAATTGAAGTTCCTTGAAGGACTCAAGATTGAGTCAAATTGACTTTCTTCTGATCTTGTGACTCATGAGGTAAAATGAAGGCATAAATGATGTCTAAGGACTCTTGTCTCTCGAAGATTTCCTGACTCTTTAATACTCAATAGTAAGGCATGTTGGTCATGATACCAGCCACCATATAGCCAGTACTTTTCCCCTCCGTTCAGTGTAGAACTTTTCTTCACTGGCCCAGCATCCACCCCCCACCCCCGCGCCCCACTCCCTTTGAAGACACCTGGACGGATTTTAAAGGAAAAAGATATAAAAGGAAACAAGGAAAAAGGAAACAAGATAGTCCTTTCTTTCCCCCGAAGTTCTAGCAGTTTGACTGACTCTTACTTGTGAATTTTTCTTGCCACTGAGTCATTGCACATACAGAATTATGAAACTTTAATTTCTTTAGAGGCTTGTTATATTAGAAAAATTGGTCCAAAGAAAGCAACAATCATGACATAAGCACATCTGGCTCTTGCAAGTTATTCTTTATTAAGCTTTCATTTAATTACATGTGCTGAAAGGTCTGTAATTTTTTTTATTTGTCCATCTGAATGATAGTAATGCTGGAAATTACATACAAACCACCTGTTTTTCCTCCCCTACTAATATGGCAAAGTTTGAGCTATTTTCTCTGTGGTTAATGAACTAGGAAGCTTTCTATTTATTATGATAGAAATATAACTATTAAGGTAGTCATAATCTTGATGGCTTAATTCTTGATGATAAGAAGAAAAGAAGATATTTGAATGGCATTTTCAAGCATGAAATTCTGTTAAAATTGAGGTATCTGAATTCTGGTTAGCCATAGCAGATTAACACATTCATTTATCACCAATTTCACCCCAAAGCTAATAACTCTACAGTTAAGGATTTCACATCCTGTGCTAGGAAAAAGAAGCTTGATTTTGTTCCCCCACAAATCTGGCTATATTCTCTTTTGGATTATGTTATATGCTGCATAGAAATAAGACCCTGAGGAAGGAGGGACTGGCATTGGGCCTCAGGGATCTTGAGGGCAGCACTCTTATCATCCAGAAGGGTCAGCATCCCCAGAGAAGTTTAGTCAGTATTGGATTAGAATGATGTTCTTCCAGAAATCCCTAGGAAAGTTTAGATCAGTTTCTTAGTTCATGAATATTAAAATTACATGAATGGACATACCGACTTTTAAAGAACTTTTATGAAGATTTTAGGTACTAGGAAGAATATTTGAGACCATTTAGTCAAATTCCTTTTTGTATGATTGAAGACATTGAGTCCTAGAGCAATTCAATCCTTTGTTTAGGGTCATAAACTTATTTCTAGAAGGACCAGGAACAGAATAATGACTCCCATATCATTGCTCTTTCTTTCTGTTATACTGTTTATTCTCTTTCATTTTCCTCTTTTAAAATAGTGAAAGAGAAATTGCAAGGCTGTCAGAGAAACAATTATCTAACAATATGGTAAGTTTTTTTTGAAACTCCATTTCAGCTGCATTTAAAGAGATGATGTTTGTCTTCCCTCTTTTGCAGCAGCTCTATGCCGCTCAGCTGGCCAGCATGCAGGTGTCACCTGGAGCAAAGATGCCATCAACTCCACAGCCACCAAACACAGCAGGGGCAGTCTCACCTACTGGGATAAAAAATGAAAAGAGAGGGACCAGCCCTGTAACTCAAGTTAAGGTATTTACTTTGCAGGATTATGGAAACAGTTTGGAAAATAGCTTCACAAGAAAGGTAGTGAACCAGGCTGTGTTGGGAATAAACGGCAGGAAGCAAAACAGCCTAAAGGAACCCCAAAACGCTCCTCTTTATTGTAAATTTCATGATTGAGCACTGAGAAACAGGTGTTTCCCTTTTGATAACAATAGTGCCATATTGTGAGATCTTCACCTATATCTGCATGCTTACTTCTCAAGAATTTTTCCCCTTTGGATTCTGGCGTTTATTTTTTAATGTTCATTGGCATGAATGGCCATGGTTTTATTACCAGTCTTTGTCATAGTCTTGTGACACTTCTCTCTAACTTCCTTAAACAGGTGGGGAGCCAACGTACAGTGCTAGAGGAGGAGGATCTCAAAACTTTAGATTGACAAAATAGAACCCAGTGCTAGACTTTATATGGTTTGTTGATAAAGCTCTCTCCTTCAAAAATAGTTATAAATGTGGTGGCTCTGAGGAATGAGTGGTGTCATAACGTAATCATGCTTTGATGCCATATATAGTTGTGATAGGATAAACAAGATTGCCCAAGTTATGACTGAAACATTAATAGATCCTTTCCTCACTGATTTTCAGTGTCTTAAAATGGGGTAGCCAGGAGGTGCTTGGTGACAGAGGGGAATTGATGATCCAGTCTAACTTTGTGCTGCAGCTGGTACTTACAGGCTTTTGCGATTGCCTTTGCTTCCTGTATTGAATTAACAAATTCAGACAGCTCGAAGAAACAATTGTTTTGTATCACTGACTTACCTACTTTGCGGGATATGTTAAGCACAGATGTATTATTGTAATGTGCCCAAAGTACTGCACTTGGAGAAATTTTGCAATTATTTTTAACTCATTACATGGGAAACATCTAAGGCCAACAAAACAGCATTGAAGGCCACAGAATTACTGAAATTGTTTTATTTTCTAAAACTTGCAGATAGGGACTTTGAGATTTTAGAAAAGCCCTTAAAAAATATGGATCCCAAATACCAAAGATAAAAAAAGTAAACATAATTAGGATGGATAGTTCTGCCAGTGCCCACCCAAAGGAATTAATTTAATGCCACCCGTGCCTTTAGATTCTCCAAAGAAGTAGATGAACATTTATGCTTTGTTGTTAGAAATATTGAGATATGACAATAGGCGGTTTACATTTAATAAGATAGTATTAACTTATGGAAACAGACTATTTATTTTGTGTTCCAAGAGTTTCTTTTTGTGAATAAGAGAACACTACCACTCAAACCAAGGCACTTTGTTTAATTATAGTTGTTGGAGTATAAGCATATCAAACATCAGTGACTTGAGGTATTGAGTATTAGATATTTTAACATGAAAAAGTCATTTTATAAGTGGGTTGGCCAAATGGAACTGCACCAAACCAAGCCTTTACTGGATGAGTAAAATGTTCCCTGGTTAGATTCAAGTTTATATTTGCTTTTACCATTCCAGTTTTGTGGGCCAACTGAATTTTATTACTCACTTGACCACATGCAAATTCTTAGGGAGTTCTCTATATAATTTGACTTGACTATACTTTATGTTAATAACAAAGGAGGCATTTATTATACTTATTAGACTGTTTATTGTATGTGTGAGTAAAAATATATAGACCAAGACATAAAGCAAATGTTTTAAATTTTTAAAATAGCTCCTACCTATTATTACAGAAGTTCTGAAAATAATCTTATATTTTGCTAATTGAAAGAATTATGGTCACTAAAATATCTCATGTTTCTCTCTGTAGTCATTCTTTCCCTCTGTACATAACACGACTACGTGACATAGGGCATTGTTAGCTGAAGGTAACAAAAATAAAAATAGACGGTCTTCCTTTCCTTTTTTCCCCCAGAATTTTTATTTGCTATAATTGTCAACATCAGCAGTAAGGATGTTTCTGTTCAAATGTCAGTTCTGTCACTTTTACTAGATGTGTCACCTTGGGCAAGTTACTTCTTTCAGCCTTAGTTTTTGCCTCTGTAAAATGGAAGTTAATATTTTTACGGGTCTTAAATGAGATAATACATCTTCTAGAATATAGTGACTATTCCATAAATGTTAGTATAGCGATGACATTGATGATAATCTGATGCTAATAAAGAAGATGGTGGTGGGTGGTAGTAGTGGTTGTAACTGAACTATCTGGTTGTATACCGAGAGAGATCCTAAAAGAAACCTAGAAGATTTCCATTTTAAGCCATTATGGAGGAACAGGGATTTACTTACTCTCCAAACTTAAACAAGTAAAACTCAAGACACAATATATAAAACAGCAGTTTCAGACATTTCCAATAGGAGTACAGGACAGTGATCCCTGATAGAAGAGAAACAAGTGAGGCAAGCAACACAGTTGTTCCATCTTACTGTCTAGAGAGAATTTCCAGGCAATAGTGCGGGGGCGGGCGGGTGGGGCGGGACGTGTAGCCACATGCAGTTTGGAAGGCTTCCCGAGTAGAGAGACAAGAGTTCAGAGTTTAAGGATGCCAAGTAGATGGAACTTGTGAGGTAGAGTACCAGAGGAGGGAGCTGTATATAGAGAGAGAGCACTAGAAATCTGCAGAAGACTCCCCTGTATTTAGCTGAGTACTGATCAGCATATGCATGTGAGGAAACTATCTGAGGCCAGGGAAAAAGACCAGATGTAGCAGACAAAACCATTGCAAGGTTCACAAAGAACTGAGAATGGTTTGTGTTCCCACTGGCCAGACTGGAAAGATCACTTGACACATGGGCACCAAGTAGAGTCCCCAGCAGGGTATTACCTCACTAGTGGGGCCAGATTATCCCTAGATTAATGACTGCTCTGGACCTGCCTAACAAAGCTTAAAAGTAAGCCTAGTAAGGCTTTCCATGTCTCAGAAGAAAGTCCACAAATACTTAAAGGAATATACAAACTATGAAACCCAACACTGTAAAATTCACAATGTGGAGCATGTATTCAATAATTACCAGGCTTTCACGGAAGCAAGAAAATATGAACAATGATGAAAAGAATAATCAGTCATTAGAAACACCCCCCAAAATAACACAGATGATAGAATTAGTAGATAAGACAGTAAAAACAGCTCTTACAAGGGACTTCCAACTATAGCCAGGTGAAGAGGTAAGCATATCTGCTCCTGTTCACCCACAAAGTTTCTCTTGGGCCAGGACAGGCTGTGAGGACCAACAACAGGCCTGCCATTGTGGAAGGGGACTGACTTGACTGGGAGTTAATAGGTGCTTCCCATGCTCAGTGGCATTGTTGGTAGAAATGGCAATTATTGAATTATAAGAATAAATAATAAATTAGAATATACAGTCATACCTTTTTTATTTATTTATTTTTTATAAATTTATTTATTTTTATTTTTGGCTGTGTTGGGTCTTTGTTGCTGCGTGTGGGCTTTCTCTAGTCGTGGAGAGTGGGGGCTACTCTTCGTTGCGGTGCACGGGCTTCTCATTGCGGTGGCTTCTCTTGTTGCAGAGCACAAGCTCTAGGCACGTGGGCTTCAGTAGTTGTGGCGCGCAGGCTCAGTAGTCATGGCTCGTGGGCTCTAGGGCAGAGGCTCAATAGTTGTGGTGCACAGGCTTAGTTGCTCCGCGGCATGTGGGATCTTCCCGGACCAGGGCTCGAACCCTTGTCCCCTGCATTGGCAGGCAGATTCTTAACCACTGTGCCACCAGGGAAGTCCCATAACCTTTTTTATTGAGCTTCATTTTATGGTGCTTCACAGCTATTGCACTTTTTACAAATTGAATGTTTGTGGCAACCCTGCATAGTCAGATGATGGTTAGCATTTTTTTAGCAATAAAGTATTTTTTAATTAAGGTATATACGTTGTTTTTTTAGGCATAATGCTATTGCACACTTAATAGACTACAGTAGTGTATAGACGTAAGTTTTATATGGACTGGGAAACCAAAAATTCATGTGACTCGCTTTATTGTGATATTTGATTTACTGCAGTGGTCTGGAACCAAACCCATAATATATGTGAAGTTTGCCTAATATTCAAAACTGAGTAAAACCAGGTGTTATAAACTCCATATATTCAAGAATATAGAGGAAAACATGAACATTATAGGACAAGACATGGAAAACTTATATTGAATGTCTGGAGATGAAAAATACAGTGTTTGAGATGAAAAGTACTCTGGATTAGTACTGTTTTGCAATAGCAACAGATTAGATATTATAGAAGAAAAGACTAGTGAACTTGATGACATAACAACGAAACTGTCCAAAATGAAATACATAGAAAAAAGACTATCAGTGCTGTGGAACATCAAATGGCCTCATATATGCAACTGGAGCCCCAGGAGGAGAAGGAAGGGACAGAAAAATATATTCGAAGAAGTAAGTAATGGCTGAAAATTTTCCAAATTTGAGGAAAACTCTGAACTCAGGTACCTTATGAAGCTTGGTAAACCCCAAGTAAAAGAAATGTGGAGAAAACTAACTAAATACCTAGTTTATAAATCACTATTATTTAGATAGGAGTAAAGGAACTAACTAGTCTAATATCCTTTGAGTTCAGAGCAAAGGCAAGTAAATTGTAATTAAGCATATCAGATAATTTTGACATTTGTAATGGATACAACTATGTTTCCTGAGAACCTATCCTATGTCTGGATAGAGATAAAAGTGCATTGCACCATAGATGTGCCAGATTACTTATTTCCTACCAAGACAAACAAACAAACAAAACAACAGAATAAAGCTAGGGTATCCCTACATTATCAAGTGACTTATTTTAGCTGATAGTTTAGTAGAAAAAGGGCCTGGGATTTGGAGCCCAATAAACTATAATTCAAATTTTGTCCCTCCATGTATGACTTTGGACAGTCATTTTATCACTCTGACTGCTTCTTCCTTTGTAAATTTAGAATACTACTGCCCAGCCTCATAGAGTTATTGGTAGTTAAATGAGCTAATATTTGTGAAAACGTCTAGCACGGTGTTAGTACATAAAGGTTCCTCTCTGCATGTTATTTTCGTTTTCTCTTTCTAATCCTCCTTCCTGAGTACTGTTTTCTGGCATCCCTTTTTGTTCCCTCTTAAACAGTGACCATTAGTACTGGAAGAGACCTTAGAGATCAGCTAGAATCAGACCCTTTTTTCTATAGATGAAGAAATCGAGCCCAGAGAGGTCACATGTTTGCCGCAGGGGAGAAAGTTCAGTTTCCAAGCTCTACTGTGTGTTTTAAACAATAACATTAAAAGCAAGTTCTCTGTGTCTTCTCAGAAGCAAAACAGGAGTTAACATTTGCTGACAATTTTTATTTTAAACACAATAATGCAGATCTTAAAACTGAACATTTAAATGAATATGCTCATATTACAATTAAATTTCTAGAATGATGGAAGTGTTGTTAAGGGTGTTTTATGACAGGATAAATGAAACAAAATAAAGGTGAGGAGCTTAGCTTTCAAGCTCCTGCTAAAACCAGAGTTACAAACCAGGTATTTGAATACTGTGCTCAGTATAGAAAAACAGGCATCTTAAAATAGACATTCTGTAAATATATGTAGCAAAGAATATAAAGAGACATCACTTTAGACATGAAAAATAAATTGTATATAGCATGGTATGTAAAACATAATTATAATGTGTGCTTGCTCTTTGCAAAAATTAATTTTAAACATAAATAGAGGCCAGAATATAGACCATGAAGAGTGCCCACACCCAGGAAGCCACATAGAAGCCATGCTGTGGCATGCGGCTCCCTGGGCAAAGGCCCAGAAGAGCAGAGGAAGACTTTGTGTTTCCATTTTTAAAGTACTTGCTATTGTTTGATTTAAAATATATATTAAAAAATTAGTGGCAGAGCCTATTTATAGTTCCAGGAACTTTTCAGAGAGAATAACACAGAAGCACTACAGAGCTGCTGAAATTTTAAATAATTCTTTGTAAATGCCCTAGGTTAATTTAGATCCCTGAAAACACATTAGGAAATTAAGCTGTAATGTGAGCTAATTCAGTTTTTATTTGGCAAAAAGAATGATCCAACTACACAGTTAATGTAAATAGAAACATAACACAGGGAAATTAATGAGGTTTCCTTCTGATGAATCTTCAAGGAGGTAGATCATTAGCTTCTTTTGTTATTATTGCAGGAGAATGTGGCATTGTCTCTGAGGTATAAAATAACTGTGGCTTACTAAGTGATAATGTGCTTCATTTAAAAAAAAATAATTATTTATGGTAAACTTGTAGGATGAAGCAGCAGCACAGCCGCTGAATCTCTCATCCCGACCCAAGACAGCTGAGCCTGTAAAGTCTCCAACATCTCCCACCCAAAGCCTCTTTCCAGCCAGCAAAACCAGCCCTGTCAATCTGCCTAACAAAAGCAGCATCCCCAGCCCCATCGGAGGAAGCTTGGGAAGAGGATCCTCTTTAGGTAAATGGAAAGGTCAACACCAGGAAGAGACTTACGAATTAGGTAAAAGAAAGCAAAACATGTTTACTGATGACTGATTCTTGTTTCCAAAGTGTTCCTTAGTCCAAGAAAAAAAAAAGTGAAAGTAAATAAAGTAAAAGTAAAATCTTTTCTACTGAAACATAACCCGGTTGTAGTGTCTTGGGTGACTAGAACTTTTAGAAAAGGTTATAATATAAATCCTGCTGGGATGGGTTCTTCAGACGATGATGAGTTAGATCCAGCACTCACAGACTTAGAAATTTCTGTGTTTGGTCAGTGCTTTGCCGCTGAAGCAACTCTAGGCAGATTAAGAGTGAACATGAACCCTCCAAGGGCCTAAAGGAACCTGGCCTAAAAGCTGCCTGCCAAAAGTCCAAAATTTATTTGACATTTTATATTTTCTTTGTAAAATGTTTGTGAATTTTACATCTTATCCCATATCAGTTTTGCATTGAAGCAAATATGAATGACACGCTTGATTGCCATCATATGAAATAAAGTTAATGTCTAGTAAGATATGTCATAGTGATCCTCTGCCTCCTTACATTCTCTGATGTATTGCCGGGTATCTCTAGGGATATTCATACCCAGGTATGAGAAGTATAGAGAAAAAAATGGGATTTGGCATCAGGCAGACTTGTACTGAGAGAGAGCCTTTACTTACTAGCTATGTGACCCTGTGAAAATTATTTAATATTTTTGAACTCAGTTTCCTAATATCTGGAAGGGAAATATTATTACCTAGCTCATAGGTTGTTATGAGAATTAAAAGAGAAAAAAATATATAAAGTGCCTAACATGGTATCTGGCACCCAGAAGGCATGCAATTTAAAAAGACTGGACAACCGAATAGCAACACATTTACATATACATGTGGAATGAGACAGTAATTGGGAAAGCACGAAAGCATGTAGTAGCAGAGAGCCAAATAAATATGAACATTATGGTTCCTATGCTCTATAAGTCTCTTAATTTTCAAATAAAGACACAAAATTTCAAAGGGATTAAGGACTAGAACTAGCATTTCTTCACCATATTACCTTCCTTGTGTTGTTGAATCCTATAGCCTGAATTGCTTCCTGTAATAAATAAAATAATGTGTAAGTGTAGCCATTTACAATTTTAAAAACCATTTTGCCTATCTTATCTCATTTAATTTTACACAATAATCGAATGAGTTAGGTAGTATATTATTATTACTCTCATTGTATAATAAACTGTGGTCTTACAGTTAAAATGACTTGCCCACAGCCATGTAGGTATTAATTAGCAGAGTCAAAACTGGAATCCAGGTCCTCTGACATATAACTCAGTGCTCTTTTTATAAACTCACAGTTGGAATATATGCTGAGCTATGCTGAATCTAAGCAAATCTTCTGATGATGAGATGGAAATCTTCCTCATTGAAACTGGGGACATTAGGATCCATACGGCAGCCTATTCTCTTTTTGAGTTAGGACGCCTCTTTCAGGGGCCCAGAGGGTTTCACTCCAAGTCAGTGGGGTTGCTGTGGGAAAGAGAAATGAATCATTTCCAGCATGTGAATATGATTGCTGAATTGTTGAAAGTCGTGAGATGAGGGGAGAAAAAAGCCAACATGAGGATAAATAATAGGCTTGGTCTTGAAATGGCCCTCCTATAATCCACTTCTGAATTTTGTTTGGAAAGCATTTGTCTTCTGTACTGAGCATTGTGAGGGCCAAAGACGACTGTTTCACAGGCCCTGCTCTTATGGAGTTTATACCTCAGCAGAGCGTATTCTTTAGATCGTGAGCTAGAAATGAGCTGAAGTAATAGCACTCTTGTCCAGACAATACTGGATAGAATTTTTTTTTTAATCAGAAAAGCTTCAGAGCAAAAGATATGGGTTTTCTATATCCTAAAAAGTGGCTGTTTAACTTTCTAGAACTTTTCCATAGATAGTGTTGGTGATATTTTCTAAACTCAAGTACATACACACATGCACTGCACACACATAGACGTGTGATGTGAGCTTGATTGTAGTCTGATTTCCTCTGTCCCTTCTGTCTCTGTGAGGTGTGTGCACACACACACAGATATATACACATACACACACACACATGCATGTGCTATGAAATGCTCATACCAGGATACATGCAAGCTGATCACATTAAACTTTATCACAGCAGCTGAAATCTATCAGCCAGCAAGCAATTGCCTTCTTTTTGCCTAAAATTGGAAAGCCTCATCTAAAGTATTAATTTTAACCTACAGTAAAATGCAAGATATGGAGGAAAATTAATTTTGAATTTTGTCCTTCTGTGTTGCATGGAATATAAGGAAAGTAAATGTTTTCACTTTATTTGAAGCTGTATACTTATGTGAAATCCATTCCCACACATACAGCCTTACTATCACGAAGACAGGGAACTGAGAACAGTGGGTGTTCCGGTTGGGGGTAGGAAATGGGTTGTCATTCTCTTAGTAAATAACGGAGGCAGCATGATGAGTAGAATGCTTCATTAACCAGCCAGTGATTGGGGAACAGAGAGTGCGGTATGTTCCTTCCCACCCCTTCTCTCCTGCAGTGGACATATGAACACACAGATACAGATATCTGCTAAAGGACACATGTAGCCTCACAGATTTTTTTTGGCTGGGCCAGAAACAACTTTGCTGTATTAGCACACCAGATATAATGGTCAGCCTGCACAGATGTCTCTGCACCCATCCCCACCCCTTTCTTCACCACTACTGCCCCACTAATTGTTAGATATAGCCAGAATATATATATATATATATATATGAATCTAGGAACCTTCATCTGTGAGGAGCTGTGTTGACAGAACCCAGATAAACTGAAACGCTGGTCCTCCGAGGGCTAAAAAAACCCCAGCACAGCTCGTTACCCTGGATTTCTGTGCTGTATTGCAGTTTTCTTAATAGCAAATGTGTCTCTTCCTTCTTCGGAGAATGTGGTATTATACAGGGGAGTGGGTAGTAGCAGTATTTTTTAAGAGCCTAACCTTACAAGCCTCTAACAATGCATCCTGTATATGCAGATATCCTGTCCAGTCTCAACTCCCCTGCCCTGTTTGGGGATCAGGATACAGTGATGAAAGCTATTCAGGAGGCTCGGAAGATGCGCGAACAGATCCAGCGGGAGCAACAGCAGCAACAGCCGCATGGTGTTGATGGGAAACTGTCTACCATGAATAATATGGGGCTGAACAACTGCAGGAATGAAAAGGTAAAACTTACTTCCCTCCTTCTCTGGCTCTGCTAGACCCATTGACTCATTTTTATCTGGCTCTTTCCAGGCTCCCAAGCATCAAACTGCAGCCAAAGATTTGGGGTCCTAGCTTGAGGGCTTTCTTGCATCACACTTAATCATTAGTGCTGATTAACAAATACACCCCTTCCCACTTAGTGTGGGTCGCCTCCCAGGTACCCAACCAGGCACCCAACCTACCTGTCTGTTGGTGTTTACCTGTCCCATTCCAAAAGATTTAGAAATATCTTATAATAAAGGGGATGTATGAGGTTACAAGACTATCAGAATATTTAAAAAGGAAGAAGCATATATGCTCACAGTGAAGGCTAATACATGACCATGACTCATCATTCAATTTATTACTAAGCTTCCTATCTGCCTGGGCAAAACAGAAAACAAAGCAACTTACAAAATGCATTCATTTATTTTTTGATTCAACAAATTATTTATTGAGTGCTTATTCTGTAATAGACACTGTTCTAGGCACCGGAGATACAACAGTGAACAAATCAGACAAAAATCTCTGTTCTTATAGAGCTTACATTCTAATAGGGGAACACAGATGAGGAAAAAATAAACAGTTAAATACATAATGAGTAATGTCAATAACATCAGGAGGTGACTCAATGCCATGAGAAAAATGGAAGCAAGTTAAGGGAATAGGGAGTTACAGGATTGTTCTTTTAAATAGGTTGGTAGGGACTCTGCGGAAGTGTTACGAAGTAGAGAGATCTGAAGGAACCCCTGTGCAGGCCACATGAAGAGCATCCAGGCAGTGGGAACAATAAGCTTAGAAGCTCTTAGAGTGTAGGACCAGCAACAAGGAGGCCAGCGTGGCAAGAGCAGCTTGAGGGAAGGGAGAGCAGTGGGACGTGAAGTAAAGTGATAGCCTGGGGTAGAGTGTGCTAGACCTGTAGGCCTTGGAAAGGCTTTGTGTTTCACTCTGAGTCCTATGGGAATTCCTAGACTGGTTTTGTCCAGGGCATTGACATGAGCTGATTTACATATAAAAGGATCATTCTGCCTAATGTGCAAGAACAGACTGCAGGAGGTTAAGAATGGAAATAGGCAGACCAGTTGAGAGGCTATTGTCATACACTGGGTGAAAAATTCTGATTATTTGATGAATGAATGATCCTTGCCATTCCTTGGCTTGTCTCTGCATCACTCCAGTTTCTGCCTCCCTCTTCACATGGCTATCTTCCCTCTGTGTATGTCCCCCTGTCTCCAAATCTCCCTCTTCTTATAAGGACATCAGTCATTGGATTTAGGGTCCACCCTAATCCAGTGTGACCTTATTTTAACTTGGTTATATCTGCAAAGACCCCATTTCCTATAGATAAATAGACAGATTATATAAATATATAATATGTTAAATTAATCATTATTTGCCTCCTCCCTCCTCCACCTTGATTGATCTCTTGGCGGGAGGTTCACACCAGGTAAGAGAGAAACTGTCTGGGGGAATGGTGGGTCTTTTGGTGTTGGTTAAGCCATAAACTTTTATATATTGGAGACCTGCTATGCACATGCCAGTCACCGGATCTGCTCAATCCCTTAGGTGCCCCACTCCCCGTTAAGTGCTCCATCTTTGGCAGTGGGCTCACAGAGCAGAGCCCCTCTTTAAGAACTGCCTCAGTAGATGGTTACATATACAGTAAGGTTTCAGGACCACAAGAAAAGAAAAGCCTTGCCCCCAAACCTTTTCTACCACTCTGATACTAGAGATAAACACAGTCAATCTTTTGACCTAAGACACTATACTATACTCAGTGAGCACCATGAAATAGTAACATATTTAATCTTAATGTGAATAACTGTAAGATATTTTTTGGGGACCTAGATAGGTAAACACCTTTTGGCATAGGGATACTGGGTGGGAAATTGGGTTAAAAGCAAGAGAATGGGTACATGCACCAGAGACCATCTCCTACCTTATAGTTTTGTCAATGGTTAATCCTAAAATTAATATGAGAAGGATGTTAGTGATTTGTTTAACTGAGTCTTTTAAAATTTATGAGTTTTCAAATGACAGTAGTATATGCTTACTGAAAATTCTAATAATACAGACAGATACATGGTTAAAAGCTAATTACCCTCCTCTCCCCATTAACTATCATAATGATTCAGAAGTTTTCTTTGCATATGCAAGAAAGTATTAATGAGTTTAAAACTATATATTCTCACTTGGAATGGTAGGCACCGAGTTGTCACTTGCCAGCTGTGTGATATTTGGTAAGTTGAATAACTTCTCTGAATCTCAAGTTCTTCATCTGTAATGTGAGGGTAGTAGTCTGGGTTACAATGAAATAAGATATAAATGAATATACCTAGCAAAGCTCCTGGTACAGAGTAGGCACTTTCTTATGTTTCCCATAACTTGTAGACTAAACTATGGGTGATCTTTGAATATATAGAACAAATGTACTATTTTGTCACAGATATGAGCTCCTCACATAATAATGGAAGGGTCAGCAGAAGGAAACAGAGTTAGATTTTTCAGAAGTTGGCATATTGACCAACTCACATAGTTAAACTGCTTTCTAACTGAGTTGATGCACAAAACTATGGCAACTTCAGATTTATTAAATTAGATCACGGTTTCTTAGCCTCAGCATTATTGGCAGTTTTGGCTGGAGAATTCTTTGTCATGGGTGGCTAATCTGGCCTCTACTCGTTAGATGCCAGTAGTAGCGCCACTCCTTTTGTGACAATTGAAAATGTCTCCAGACATTGCTAAATGTCCCCTATTGGGGGAGGGAGGACAAAATTACCCCTAGTTGAAAAACCACTGAGCTAAATAAATATATTTAGAATTAATACATTTCAGAAACTTTATTCCACAAAAAACCAAGTTATTTTATTTAAATAATCATACTTGTTTTTAAATTATGAAGAATCATTTACCTTTGATTAATGTTATGAATGAGATATTTCTTTGAAAAATGCATCTAGAAATTTTTGTTTGGAATATTAACATAGAGAATATTTAAAACAGAATGTGTATATGCCATTTAGCTTGGGGGGAAAATAAGAAATAAATTCCATATTGTTGCAGCAACTGTGCCTTTCAGTGAAGCTCCCCCGTCACATTAAGCAGGCTTAGACTAGCGGCATCCTGATAGGTTTGCACTAAACCTAGGAGTAAATTGATGCTGGACATCCCTTGCTTCCTGCAGTGACTCTCTTTGTCTGACACAGTGACCCTATATGGTTGAATTTATATCATTGGTTGAAGTTCAAGCTTAAGACTCTATTAACTTCAAATACTACAGGTTAATTTTAAGTATTTCTCATTGACTTTTTAAAATTCATATGGAGGAAAGAAGTCTGAGGCTCCAGAATAATAACACCTGAATTTGTGTTGGAAGCCATGAGAGAGAGATGAGAGATTAGGTTAAGGTTGAAAAATAATAATAATGAATCTAAACTTGTCCTAAAACATATCACACTGAATGTAATTGAGCTCCTGAAGATAAGTGGCAAAGTGGCTTCTACAGAATCAGAAAACCCTGGTTTCCCAGTTGAAGGGAGTTGTTGTCTCAGTAGATGACTTTATTGGGGTTGAATTTGGGGCACCGGAAAAGTCCATTATATTCAGGGATGTTGTGCTCACAAGCTCTCCTTTACATGATCTCCCTCCCAAATAATGTCGCTCTTTTGAATGTATATTTGTGGATGTGTGAGCTTTGTTTAGTTTCTAGACCCAGTATGTACCTATCCTTGTTTGCTAGGTTTGTTGCAGCCAGAAGAGTAAATTAAGAACAATGTTAAAGGGCTCCTGTGATAGTCGATTTGGCTCTCTTATAATCAAAATATCCATCTTAATTTTATGAGGTTTCAGAAGACACTACCTTTTCTTCTGAGAATCATATTTTCTTCTGAGATCAAAGAGGGTAAATATATAATGTGCAATAAGATTGGTAAAATGGATTGTGGCAAATTCAGTTTAACTGTCTTCAAAATTGCCCTCTTTGGAATTACCTCAGTTTCCTTAAATGTAAAGATCCATAAATTAGATTTCTGAATTTATTCTTGTAAACCATAATACAGTTTTAGAGATTTTTTCTCAGGTTTCTGTCATGACACCTTGTAATTTATAAAGCATAGCTCATCACGCTCATATTTGGACATCTTTTTACAAATGAGCATGTCACAGATTTGAGTTCCCTGAGAAGCAGACTGTGAGATGGAGATTAACGAGCAGGTTTATTGGGGGGGTGCTCTTTCTGATTGCCACCTGTAGAAGGGAAAGGATGAAAGCAGGACTGTGATGCAGTCTTAACCAAAGCCTTAGCCAACCTCATATGAAGCTTTGAGATGGCCATGGCCATGGCCATGCAGAATTGTCCCAAGTTGGATGGAGGGGGTGAACTTTTATACACTTGTATCAACCAGTCATTGGATGAGGGTTACCCTGGGAAGGGGACATAACCTTAGGTGATGTGACTCTCTTTAGTTGAGGCAGTGCCGAAGAGGGCCAAGAGCTGAGGGTGAGCAACAACGTTCCCTGCAGCTGAGGAAAAAATCAGTCCTGAAGGGGTATCTGGGCAATGCATCACAATGTCCATTGTAGAGTTGTTTTTGTGACATTTACTAACATTAGATGTATATAAAACATGCTTTGTATGTTTCATAACTGAGGGGAAACATTTACTACACAGGCATAGGGGTGCTTATGTCATTATGACACATACAGAATCACATATATGTCCCTATGAATACATGTTTACCCATGGCGTATTTCACTTTATTGGGTAAACCCCTATTTTGACACTTTAAATGAAACATTGTTGACTTGATCAGCCAGAACGGCACCAATGGAGTTGTTCTGGTTGGCTGTGTCACCGGATATTTAGGGTCTGTTAAATATATAGATTGTAGGGACAATAGACTGTAACGGCGCCTTAGGAACTGTTATGCTCCATCATTTCAACACAGCTGCTGTGCATGGATCATGAGTGTCTTGCCAGCCG